TGTAAAACCATGTTCATATTTTTATTATTATCGTTATATTCTGTAACACGACATATTATGTAAAACATGTTTGAGATAGATACGTATATTAATAAATCAGATGAAATGCCCCATAATATTTACTACGTGTGTTATTAGGTATATAGCGTTGAAATTGTTTTTTATATTTATTTTCTTTAAGCTCGACAACAGGTATCGCGTTACGTTACTGTTATAAAAACCTACGAGCTCATAATAAAGTTTTTAATTCACGTCTATATTAAATTCCGATAAAAACATACGATTCTCGAATGTTATAATATTATGTGTGTAAAGCATATTACAATATAATATTGTAATACAAACAAACTTGTAGGTAACTAAAAAATCGATTACATCTATAAAACCGCTGTGTGATTCGTTGGGTTTTACTATCTGTTCATGCGTGTACTTAAATATCAAATGTCACCTTTATAGGTCTGTTCATCAATCGTATATTTTATTGCACCTACATAAGGCGTATAATAACAGTGCCGACTTTACCTCTTATGTAAAATAAAATATTCACACAAATGTATTAAACCACAATTATAATGTTATTAATTATTATATTACACAATACACGGTTTGTATACTATTATAATATTGTATAAAATATATTATTTTATAGTGCTAGTACGTTATTGCGATTAAAAGTGACGTCTGACCGCCATCCGGACCCCATGCGTTAACATGCGGTTATCGATATTATATGAAACGTTATATCTTATGCATATACGTGACGTTGGCAACACGGAAGGAGGGGTGGTGCACTAATCGTTGGAAAACGATCCAAAGAATGAAATCGTTTTTTATTGTTTTTGTTTTTTTTTTTTTTAGACAGACGACTTAATCCGCAGCCGACTTATTATCGTCATCGTCAGACGAATGGCGGAAAATAAAAATTATAATACTCCCTAGTTGATAATATATATTTTCTATATAGGTACAGTAGTACTTGTTAGGACCCTAGGTAGTAATACTTGCAGCTAACCCGGTATACTATAGATACCCGACCATATACCTGTGCATTTACACCGGACTACGCGGTGTTATTCATGTCGACCAAATCGACTGTACCCGTCCGTATATTAATTACACGCATTATGAATGCACGAAGAAGAACATAATTCATAGTGGCAGTACATGATCACTAATCGTTCGTATATATTGTACTACAATATGCCTACCCAAGTCCTAATGTATATGTATAGTCAATAATGCCATGCAGTGGTCTATAACGTTTTTCGCAACAAAAATGTGAGTGGGAGGGGGATGATCACGTATAGCTCTGGTGCTATGGCCCACTAAATTGTTCACACGAAAGGTAGGAAACAATTTTACAGACACAACACTCGAACCACTCGGTATTGTCTTACGGTCATTTTCAGCATGGAAACATTACAATACGAAGGACTGCAGTTTGCAGTTGCAGACCTACTTCCGAAATATGGTACTCGATTTTTCGTCCGTCCGACAGTCGTGGTTCACTATCGCATCTCACACCTCTGTTCCGAGTTGTTCTATACGACTATATATTATATTGTATTACATTAATAACGAACACAATTATATTATTTCAATTAAAATCGATGCCTATATTGTTGAAAAATCGGTTCTTCCCCGTCATCCGCGTCTAATCGAAAAATCCTAATAATAAAAGTAGGTATGCAACACTATCCGGGCCAAAGGGGTATCCATCTGTCGACTGTTGCTGATGCACACCTGTACTGACTTCTGATATAAGTCTATTATAAATGGAGGAAGTAGTAGTTTAGTTACCACCACAGTTGTGATACCAAAAGTTACATAATAATAGTATTATGAGACCATAAATGATAATATTATAATGTATTACTGTTTTAGTAATATTTTTGGGTTTTTTTTCATCGGCATTGCAGTCCACTAGTGTGCATTTTTTTTTGTTTTATAATAATAATATGCACACCTCATATCGGTTGCACTTTATGATATTATATGTACATCGTTATCGCGTGAGTGCATATTGCGCGCCATATAATAATAATAATAATACGTACCTATATGTATATCGTATAGTATGGAAATCGCATTGCCGTGATGCCACGCCATCGGCACGGCATGTATTATAATATTGTAGTGTGTATAATATATATATAGAGAAAGAGACATGTAGTGCACAAACGTTGCATATAATATTATAAGTCTTAGCAATATATTATTATTATGTAGGCAAACATATTATCGCCGCCGATGAGACTGCTGAACGGTTGAATTTTTTTTACGCGCTACGGAATTTCGACAATGCATCGGAAGATGATTGAAGAATATTCTCGAAATACGATCGGATAATATTTTTGAGTGAGTACTTACGTTTTGGGAACCTCTGTGTATCACAAAAAAATCTCTTCTAATTATTACGGACGCAGATAGCGTTAACCTAAATATGTGCAAAGATTTTTTTTTTAAGTTCCACATATTATCGGAAAACACTTTAGTACGTTTCACAACCAAGTCTCGCCGACGGACATCATATTTTAATGTGTGTTTACCACGAATAGCTTATCGATAACGATATTATAATATTGTATTAGCAAAGGCTGTCGTTGTACACAATTATTCATACATTTATAGTATATACACTCGCTCTCTTCGACGAACTTCGTAATAAATTATATTAAGAGGCGTTTGTTGTTTCCGTCTTACAAGTGTGCGTGATATAGCAAATCTATGGTCCACGTTTATCTTTGTAAGTTTAAAAATTAGAAAGATTCATCCTATTATGAAAGTTCATGGTAAGAAAATTATCTGTGTCTGTATGAAGGGTTTTTATATTATTTCAATTTTTTTAGCATGTTTCGCGTGTATGATGTAGCATAAAAATGCTAATAATTCACTTAAAAATTTTCTATGTTACACATTTGTAAGACAGAGACAACAAATGAGTGCGTAGCGTCCTCTTAATAATAATAATAATAATAATAATAATTACACATGACAATAACCTTGCATTAGTTGTTTGTCTTCACGTTTGATTTTTACATAATTAAGAGTATTTATATACCTGCAGACTGTAGTGTTGTGACATGTGAGTTGTGAGTGCGTTATAATATGATATTAGGTATTACATATTAGATATTATTATTACGCTCGTTTCCAGTGAAACAATATGTTGTGTAAGAGGCAAATATTCGAAACAATATGACTGTTATGTAATAATATAATAATAGGTATATACACACCCACGAGTTACTATAAAGGTATACCTATACGGCTATACGTTTCGACTTTACTAAAACGTTCGTCGCCAGGGATAATGACTATTATAAACTGTTGAAATTGAATGTCACCTTAATCTAGTTGTATACGTTTTACCCGATTAACCACGCGATGTGTTGCGTTCCCGTGGAACAATTTTACAACTCGACAAAAAATTGGTTTATAATTTCGTAATAATAATTGTACACACGTTGTTATAAACGTCAGTGACTCGTAAAAAGGGAGTCAGTCGAGGGGTATAGTTATTGGCACCGGGGGCAGGGTATAATAGTTTGGTTAAAATACGGATATAGTCAATGTGTCATATTTTTATTATTGTAAGTGCTAGTGAACTTTTGGGTCAGTCCATACTATGATTTTTTTCGTTACCAGTCATTTCTACGTATAACGAAGTATCATAGTTTTATTTAAAAATGTTAACCTAACACTATGTACGGAATTGATAATTGTCAGCATTCGGGTCGTTCGTCTGACTTCAATCACCTAGGTGGAGTGATGTGTTGGGACTTGGGATATAACTTTAAAACAATTATTGAATATTTGGTACGTTAAAAAATATATATATTTCTGAACTCAGTTGAACACTAAGACAGTGTTTTAAACAGTATATTTCAAATGGTTTAAAACATTTTAAAATTCAAACAATATGTCGTTAAGAGTTTAAGACATATGTTTTGTTCACCTTAAACAATAATTAACAAAACTTTTAAAACAAATGTCTTAAGTTTAGGTTGTAAATATGTTTAAAACATTGTGTTATAAATATAACAACCATAATTATAGGTATCTATGTCATATTTTCTGATTCTTTGCATTTACCTGTAGATAAATTATTTACAACTGAACATTCAATATAATACTATCAACTAAATTCGATTTTTAATCAATAAATTACCTGAAACTTTTGCATGAAAAATACAAACAAACAAAAACTATGTATTCAAATTCCAATCACAAATTGTTCGTTTCACTTAAAAATTGTAAATTCTGCTCAAAAAAATGACAGCCATTTAAGTTTTATTTATTACTGTTCTAAAATGAAGAAATCTGATTTACCGTGTTTTTAATGTCGAGTTTACCGTCATTACAAACTATTCGCATAAAGTTTTTTTCTTAAAAAGACTTTTAGGTCATAAAATTTACGACAGCGTCATTTTTAATGTACTTTTCGCCCTTTTGAGCCATACTTTGTCATTATACAGTTTAGGCCCCCTTTTCTAATGTAAATTACACTATTTTCTTTTTACCATACCTATTCATTTCAGTTTTCACAGTGTTTCGAAGACAACATGTTTGCATATTGCATGCATTTCATTTCAATCAACCATTCCGTATCTCATTAGTCATTAACAATAAATAATGTACAATAATAATAATATGTCATCAAAAAATATTGTGCACAATTTTATTATGTATATTTAATGTGATCAAACTCCATGGTTTTTATAAAAAAAAAAAAAATGTTTTGAACATCATGATTATAATTTTTTTTCCACTCTTGTATTTCTTCTATGTACCTAAATAACTTCATTTTTATATCTTAGTATAATCTTACGGCCTTCTGGTCGGAAAAGCAAATACGTATTATTTTATAGTATAATATCATAACGTATTATTTTAATGAAGTCGAATCAAACGAGAAACTATAACTCGGCTATTGTAAAATTATTGAAAATTGCAGTTGATTATATTCTAACAATATTATTTATTTTTTCTCCATGCAGTTATTAACGGATATGGACACTCCACAGTACAGTCTTCGGTGGAACAATCACCTGGTCCACATGATGGACGCCATCGAAGTGCTACTACAAAACGAAACTCTCGTGGACGTCACGCTGGTTTGTGAAAAGACTCAGTTTAAAGCCCACAAAGTCGTCTTATCCGCTTGCAGGTACCTACCCAAATTTATACACAAGACTTTTATCTCAGGAATATAATACATCTTTATTATTTTTTAATTATATCGTATGTTTTTCCTAGTCCATATTTTCAAAGGCTATTCTCTGAAACCCCGTGCAAACATCCTGTGATCGTGCTTAAGGACCTTCCGGACTGGGAGATGAGAGCCATCATACACTTCATGTACAAAGGGGAGATTAACGTTGGCCAGGAACAGTTGCCGTTGTTGCTACAGGCTGCTGAAACGCTACAAGTACGTAAACATTATAATATTATTAGTGCTATTCGGGAAGAAGACCTAAAAATTGTATGTACCTTTACCGACGAAGACAAATTTTCGGATTTTAACGTTAACTCCTCACAGTATCGATTACCATATTATTATTTTTACTTGCATAACATTTTGTACAAACTAAACTTTAAGAGGATTACTAAATTGAGATATAATTGTATCGATATCGTGGTATGGGTATACTATAATAATATAGTATTTTAGTTTGCAGTTAAGCAGCTCTAAATTTACAACATAGAAGTTTGTACTATGAGTTAAAAAAACATACTTTTGCTTTTTTGAATAGATTCATTAATATCTACCAAAAACGTTTAAGGACCTAAAAATACAGGTTTAATTAAAACAGAGATTTGTTTCGTAAAAATCCTATAAATATGGCAATAAAAAATTACTGACATTTCGATTTTCGTAAGATTTCATCCAAAATATAATTTAATTCAGGAAGTTTTGAGTTAGAAATTATGCATTATTAGGTTTCTTTTTTCATTATACTTCAGTCATACTCGAGTTATGGTTAACTTAATAAATATAAGCTACCTCCAATAAATATAGGCATTACTTCCTATTACATGTATGGATACACAATATTTAAATATGCATGCATTATATTATGCTTAAATTATAGTAAAAATAATGAGTGGACTTACACCTTGATGTTACACTTTGGATAGGTATGAACATTAAAAATCAATAAAAATATTAAATAACACACTAACCTAACCCATTATAAAATATTCTTAGTTCTAAAAATGAATTACTTATGAAATAACCTATGCCTTTGTTAAAACGGATAAAAAAAATTATTAAGAAAAAATAATTGGTCGACTGCCAACTTATTTAACTGGGTAAACCCACGACAGTACGACCAGTCATCATACCCTCCTCATTCATCAGTGATTTACAGTCGGTGATGAATCATCACTGGACATGCCAACTCGTAGGTACCTATATAATATTACCAACGATTGTAATGAATGTGTGCTGGTGATTTGAAGGGGGGCGACAAGCAAAGGGGATCCTAGCTACCATCGGGTGGGTGGTGAGTCGTAGATCGCTACCGCTAATCGCTTTCACGATTGAATGATTGCAGATCCGCGGACTGGCCCATACTGAGCGCATTCCGTTATTTGTCGATTCGCCCACTTCGTCGTCGGCGACGCCCACGGACGTCCAACCATCACCGTCGCAACAGCAACAGCAGCCACCGCTTCCGTCGTCTCATCACCACGGCGTGGGCGGACACCATCACCATCACCACCACCACTCCAACAGGGGCCACAGTCCTGGCGGAAGCAAATCCGGCACGACCACCGGCCACGAGCTGACGAACGGACAGAGTTCTCCGGGCAAGGGTCATCATCACCATCATCACCACCACAGGCACCGGACCGCCGACTCACCGCAGAGTCCGCGCAACAAGTCACAGCCGCCGCCGCACCACGCACTCGCGCTACCACCACCGCACCACCGCGACGGATCCGCCGGCCGCATGTCGCCGACCACCAGGATGTTCTTCCAGGCCGCCGCGGCCGCTGCGGCCGCCGCTGCAGCCAATCCGTACGATCCTTCGCACATCCGTCTGCCACAGATACAGCACTTGCCACCCATCACGTTCAGCGACCGGAACTGTCCGTCGCCGACACCTCGCAGGAAACAGGTAAGTCGTACCTATACTGCTGCAGCACATGAATCGCGATATTATTACGTGACCAGCTAACCTAACCTTGTGGTTTTTCGTTTCCTGTGTTTTAATATTCTTCTACCTTCGTCTCGAAGAACTGATCCCGTTACTATATTTTAGAGAGAGAAATTATCAATAATACCTATAATGTTCAATGTTGTCAACTACAGACAATTATACTATAATATATTAATACAATACGAAGCGCTTAACCTTTAAAATATAACGATTATTATTAACATTATTATGTGTATACGCATATTTAGGCTCGACCCAGGCGAAGATCGGGCGAAGCGATTGGTCCACAAGATTTGAGCAAAGCACCTTCTCCGTCAAACTTCAGCAATAATGTCGCCGAAAATTTGTCGATGAAAAAATCACCGAACAATGAAAATATCAATAACGAAAACATGCCGACAAATTTAAGTTGTAACAATAAGAGGCCGGATAGGACACCGTCGCCGTCGGCAAATGTGAGTTTTCAAATATGACTTGTAAATCTAAATGGACGACTGATATAAATAAACCTATGTACAATTTGTTGATAATTTTTTTGTTATAAAGAAAAATGACTCAATGATGTTTTATAGTTGTTCAAATAATTTTGTTCATAATAAAAAGGAAATGAAAGTGTGATGGAGAAAGATAAAATTATGACTTTTATATTATTCACAATTTAGCGTATTCGTTTATTATTAAGATATTTCATTATTTTACACATACAATTTTACATCTCATTCTATAAATGTTTTTAATGAAACACGTCATAATTGGCGGTATTTTCTTTTGCGCTTATACATTTATAACGGGATATTATTTTCTCTTTCAGAAACAAATGAAGGTCGAAGTGGAAGAATCAGAAATGATTGGAGACTTGGGACAAAGTCTGCCGGTAGAGTTGACTGCCAACAGTGGCAACCCGAACGTAAACAACAATAACAATAATAATAATAACCAGTCGAGTAACAAAAAGAACCACCACCATCACCACCACCATCATCTCAACCACCAACAACAGCATCAGAGGCATCCGGACTTCCCTTATTATGGGCCAGATCCCATGAGCATACCACTTAATCCACACGTAAGTTCACGTCTTCGCTACTTATATTTTGTTTTACGTATTTTATTTTTATTTTTTCACCCCTCTTTACCACGGGGACTCGTCGTTACTGTTTAGTTTGTTTATTCGGTTTGGAAATTAAAGTCCGTGAAAATATTATTAATGTCAACCGAAGTAACAATGATATTTTTGGTTGTTTTAAAATTTTAATATACATATAGAATATAAAAAATATTATTAATCCCTTGGCAGTAACTAAAACGTACTACCGAGATTTTCGTCTAAAAGTGTTGTTTCGTTTTTGCAAATATTTTAAATAGTACCTATTTATAATAATATTATAGTGCTTTATCCATACAAATATGATTTTAATTTCCAAAGAAAAAATACACAACTTTGAGTCATAAACATAGTTTAAATGGCCAGTTTCAGTTTCGTATTTAAATTGTATACCTTCATGAGTTTTTAAGTTGTATACATTAGTATAGATTTACTTTGTTTACCATATTATTATCATACATACACTTTAATATTGCATTTTAACAATATTACAAAACAAAGTTCATAACATGTAATTTTTTTTTACAGGATCCGCACTTTGAGAACTCACTATTTCCGCCTTTTGGACCGTTGTCGTCGCTATCTCTACAAGGACCTCCTCACAGTAAGTTTGAATATTATGTATATTTTGAGTTAATAAATATAAAACATTGTTAGAGAAAACAAAAATGTAGCTTGTGTGTGTGACTAAGAGGTAGAGCACACCAAGTAATTACGTGTCCACGTGTTTTTTGTTAGGCGCTTAGTGTTCTTTTTATAATAATATATTATATTATATTATTTTTTTGTTTGGAATTCATTATTTTAAAAGAGCACTCGACATGCGTATGAGTTTTATTCTGGTAATAATATGAAGTATCTTATACTATAATTTATTTCAAACTTATCTGCAGTCGTAGGATAACAATTGTCAATTGTAACAATGTTGAGAGCAATAAAATGTTTCTGATGTATTATATTGTAATTCATTTTAGTTTTGTCGAGTTCATGAAGCTAATACTTTTTTGTTTTTGTTTTCTATTATAGTGTTTCCAATAGATGCCCAATTTGGTAAGATTAACAGAAAAAAAATTTCATTACGTAATACAATAGTCTACTGTTTAATAACAACTAAAAATCATTAAAATAAAACTATAAAATATAAAAATTTAATTATAAAATTATATTGTAGGCGTTTAAGGTAGACAAATTATTTTTTTTTATGTATAGTGCTGTTTGAAATAAAAGGGGCAAATCAATATTGCGTTTTATATTTAATAATAATATCATTGTTTAACAATGTAGTTTTTATATGGAATACTGTCGCGTACTATAAAAATATACATTTAATTAGAAATTCTGTAATTATATTAATATATAATAGTAATTACAACATAATATTAAAAAACCGACTATATATTATTATTAATGTTGTTAGTTCCGGAATATTATTAATTATTTCTATATTATTTAATAAGTTCAATAAATTGAAGTTTAAAAAAAAATACAGTTCATTGATTAAAATACATTAGTTTGTTTAAATATTTGATACAACAATATAATAAATTGAGAATTAAAACAATTTTGTTATACGTAACTAATAAATATTTATTAAGCATTTTCTCGGAAGGTTTTTATTGTAAATTAAAAATTAATCACGTAACAATTTCATTGCACTATTTGCATGAAGCAATATCATGGCAAATATTATTTATAAGGGGGGGGGGGACATTGATTTTCAAAAATAAAAATAATTTTTTTTTTAGAAATACTTAAGTTTAGTATTACGTTAATTTAATCGGTCCTTATTTCATTCTCCTTCTTCTTACAATTTTGCCGTTTCGTATTTACAAACGTCAAACAGGTAGTTACTTACTACACGCACTTGCTACTTGCTAATTAAAAAATAAATTAATCGTGTTCAATCATAATAATATATTTTACATACGTAATATTACAGACTACGGTAATAATTTCGCGAACAGTGACTATCAATTAATACAACAACAATATAATATTTTAATGTGGTATTGTCCTTCATCAACTCTAACGATGATTCTTTATCATTTTGAAATAATTATTCTAACATAGTGTAACAAGTCGTGGAAAGCTCTCAGCGTGACGACACTTAAGGGTGTCCGTGCCGGTCATTTATTAAGGAGTAAAATGTAGGCAATTAATTCACATGTTGTATCGGCCTTGAGCGGAACGTGCATGTGTGTGAGTATATAAATTGATATTAGTGTGAGTGAGCTATAATTACATACGCTGATAAAGATATATTGTACTCACACGCATGCACAAGTCAGTGCTATACTTCGATGACTATTATCAAAGCACTATTTTGACGAACAAAAATGGTTTCACAGGAAAAACTATCATGCCTCGTAGATATGTCGGATTATGGTCAATTTTTTTTTATCTGAAAGATGAGAAGTTTCTGCAGGTCGGAATAAAGTTTGAATTTTTATTTTGCTTTAAATAGTAGTAGAAAAATACGTTTGGAAAAGGACAAATATTGTGCATTTTTAAAATGCATAATCCAGTTCTATAATTATAATTTTCAAAATCAGGTTTTGATCCGACCTACAAAATGTTCTCTACTTTTAGATAAAAAAAAAAATTAACAATTCTACAGGGCGTGAGAGTTTTTCCTGTAAGACATGTTTTTGTACCAAAAAATGCACCGGCTCCGACCCCCTTAAATATTATTTTAAATGGTAGATTATGCATTTTTATTTTGATTGTCAATGCGTGTGTGTACAATCACTTTTTTCTAATGTAATCTATATTCATAACAGGTCTATTTCCCGGTTTGGACGGCTGTAGAAACCCACTGCTAAACGAACTGATTGAACCGAGGTTCGACAATCCACCACCGAGTAAAAAGAAAAGTGAGTAAAATAACCGTGTGGGCAACTCAATTTATTTCTAATTCGTTCATTTTTTAAATTTTTAAATTTTTTCCTCATTCTCTTCTTTGCAGAGAAAATGTTCCCGGTTGGACGTCCTAAGGGCCAGCACAGCGCTCCACGCGGTGGCCCTCCAAGGTCGTGGACGAACGCTGAACTCACTGAAGCGCTACAGCACGTGTGGAACAAGAAGATGACCACGTCGCAGGCATCCAGGATCTTCGGTATACCGTACAACAGTCTGCTCATGTACGTGCGTGGCAAGTACGGTAAATCTCTAAAACTGGAACAGTTGAAAAAAGAATGTTTCGGTGACATAAACGGTCCGCTGGACTTGTTGCACTTTGGGTCCATATCGAACAATAACAACAGCAGCAACAAGAACAACAATAATAACAATAACAACAATAACAGCAACAACAACAACAGCGGCGGCAACAATGGCCAGTCGAATGTCAACGGTTCCGGTAACAACAACGGCGGTGGAGGCAACGGCCCGACCCTGCAGCCGTGCAACCCGCCCACGGAACCCGTCGACCTCATGCTGGGGCCTCCGGGATTCAACCCACCTGCGTTCCCGACACCCAACTTCTTCCCGGACTTTGGGTCCACGTTCCCGATGGGCATAGACATGATACACCTGATGCACCAGCAACAGCAACACATGTCGTCGATGTCGGCGGCTGACAAACACCAGTACTTGGGACTGCAGGACATGATCGGCGGCCAACCGATGCAGTCGGCCGTGGTGCTAGACTATGCGATGAAGTCTCCGGCTGCCAGTCGCAGCAACTCAGAACCACCGACAACGGGTGGCGAGGGTGACGGCGATGGTGATGGTGACGGTGACGTGGACGGCGACGGTGAGGGTGATGGTGAAGGCGACTGCGACGACGATGACGGGGCCGATGATTGCGGCGTCGACGACGAGGACGAAGAGGACGACGACGACGACGTGGTGGCCATGGACTTCTCAAAGGCCGGTGGGATCGGCGTTGGCGGCGGCGGTGACGTTGGCAGCGGCGGCGGTGACGTCGGTGGTGGCGCCGGTGCCGGTGACGAGGATGACGGGGTCGACGAAGAGGACGACGACGAAGACGTCGACGACGAAAGACTGAGTCCGGAAGCTGATGACAAGGACAAGGAGCAAGACTGACACGGGGTGTTTAGGGACTACGCGCTGGCGGCGTTCGACGCGGTGCTCCGAACATAATTTCGCCACAGCGGTGTTCTTCGCATCGGGTGTACCGGTGATTTTCCTGTACCGGAAAATGCGCATAAGCCCGTCATGTACACGAGCGCGCGCGTCCCTTGTCCACCACGTGGTCGTCGTCACGGGCGTTCGGCTGAATCGCCGCCCCGTATCCCACCTGCAACCATGTGCGCGCATGCCCTTTACCTCCACCCCAAAACCCACCCAACCCTAAATCCTGTCAAACCTTCTTTTTCGCCCTTACCCTTAATCAATTTATAATAATATATTATTATGTCTGTATATTATAATATTATCTATAAAAAATAATAATAGTAATTATAAATATAATATAATATAATCATTCGGACGAATCGTACGGCCGTGGTTCGTAATCGAGCGTGTAACATATAATAATCGTTTTTAATGATAAGGGATTGAAATAAAACAATAAAAAATAATGAAAAAATTTGGTACGAAAAAAAAAAAAATGTAAACAAATCTACTACTACTACAGCTAGTGAATACAAAGAAACGTGTAAATTAGATTTTAAAACAAATTGATCGTGTACATATTTATAAGTGTGATCGTCGTATCGTTATTAAAAAAAAAAATTAATTATTTATTTTAGACCAAAACGTAGCCATTTTAAAGATAAATCATAATTATTGTTCCGAAACAATAGAATTTCATCTCAGCCCGATAAACAAATCAAAACGATACAATTACCTAATATACAGCCGAACACATTATGGTGTCTACATACAGTTCCTAAGTTTTAGTTACAGTAATTTTATTTTAATTTTTATTAGATATTAATCATGTGTATACTTCTGTGAAACTGTGATTCCTATACACACATGTTGGCTTTAAGTTTTACTGCATTTCGTACGGTTTTTGAGAGATAAAAACATGATATTTACTTCGAAATCAGCAAGAGAAAACGACAAAATATTTTATACAATATTGTTCCTCGTATATTATGAAGCCACTAAAATACATATTTTTTTTTTATAGTTCCTGTTCGTTCGCCATTTTGTTTTTTTTTCTGAGCCATAAAACGCATACGTTTGTACAATTTTGTGATTAATGGGAGGTAATATTACCAGCAATTTTGTTACTGAAGTAACATTATAATAATTTGTATCCAACGAAATTACATTAAAACTTTACGTGTCTCCCAACTAGCAGTCGGTCAAACTTTAATAACAGCTTTCATTGATATCATCGTCATCGTTATCGTCATCGTTATGACAGTAATAACGTTAAATTATATCGTTATGACATTACAACTGTAACAATCCAAATAAGCGAATGATAAGAGAATAGTTTACGAGAGACGGTATGCGTTGTACCTGTTTCGAAGGTACGTCCTCATGGCAAACGATTAATTTTTAATTTTATTACTTGCAATAGTTCTAAATAGGATTTTAAACTTAACTATAGAGAAATACACTCGTCACTCATGCAGGGTAATCATGAAACATTTATAATACAATACAGGTACCTCTATATACATAATGAAAATAATAATAGAAATAAATATCAGGAACGATAATAATAATATAATATTCTATTATACGATTATTATTCACACAAATACACCTCAAACCAAAAAGTTCATTATTTATAGTACTTATTAATATATTTAAAATATAATAGTCTGTTATATAAATACACTTGTGTGTAAAAAAAAAATTAAAAAAATAAATATTATATAACAATAATAATAATATTATGTGTGTTAAATTGAGTGCAATGTATTACTTTCACGGTGATTTATTTGTTACCTTTTATTTATAATAAAATAGTAAATGTCTTAAGTTTATATATTTCTTAAGTTCCAGCAAAGCTTTTTATTCTGTTTTATTTCCTAAGGCTGTGTTTCTGCTCCGTTTCATATTTTTCAAATGTACAAACAAACAAAATATAAAACGTCATATTATAATATTATTATGTTATAACCATATTACATTTAAAATACCTATATACGGATAATGATTATATAGATACATTTTTATGATACAATAATGGTGCAGCATCTCAGGGCATTAACTAGATGTACCAATTTTCGTTAGATAATAATTATTCTATAAATACAATATATTATATATATATTATAATTAAATCACATAACGTCCGATAGTTTATAACCTATTTTAAATGTGTTTTTTCGTCTGTTTTTATCATGTACGTGTAAATTAATTGAACAAAAAATTGTATTGTTAATATTATAGCAAGTAGACGTTTAGGTTAAAAGTAAATTATGAAAAATATTGTTTTCTTTTGTCTTAACTTTTATTTTGAGAGTGTGTTATTATTTGTATTATTATTTTATTTTATTTTTTGGTAATAGCGTCATTTCTGATGACCTTGTTAAGTTGATTTTTTGGTATTGGTTCCTGTTATAATTTTATGATTTAACCTTTTAAGAATTATTATTATCATTATTTAATTGTTTTTAGTATTTTTTTTGTCCTAAAACTCTCATTGAGTAAACATACAAATTATGTTGTTAGGTTTAATCAATTAATGTAATTTAATTTTGAAATTATTCAATAATTTACTTATTATTATTATTATTATTAATTATTATTATTATCATCATCATCATTATTATTATTATTATTATTATTATTATTATTATTATTATGATTATTATTATTATTGTGGGAATCGAAAAGTTGATGAATGGATGTCGTTGAAAACGAAAAATTATAAGATGTTATACGATTCGTAAACAAAATAATAATTACAAAAAAAAAATAAATAAATAAACGAAAAAAATAATAAAATAATAAAAATATATCAATTAAAATGTATGTTTTTTGATTTGGTTTTTAACTACGATAAAATATTACGATTTTAAGTGTACATTACGCTTGTATTTTCTGTCTTTGTTTATCCTACGAATGACATTACAAATTCATTGTTCATCTGAAAATTATTCTTCAAATTGGTGTTGAGTTTTTAAACAATAGCATATTGTATATAAATTTCATATTAAATGAAAATGTCTCAAAAGCTGAACCGAGTAAAATGTTTATGGAACAAAAATCTCAACAAGGTCAGCAGATACATATAACCGTTGATAATATTTTTTTGGACTTACGAACATATATTATAATATTGTCATATACCAACGAAGATTACTACTATGATAGTTTATATTAGTAATATTATCATATACCAACGAAGATTACTTCTACGATAGTTTATATTAGTAATATTATATAATACTAATTACTAAGATAGGTTAGAAAAAATTAAATGGCCATTTCGCACCCCGCGTATAATGTTGGTTAATTGATTAACTCAATATTCTGTCTGTCCGTTATATAGAAGTCCCCTCGAAGTCAACACGATTGAAATTTTAAATGTTTAATGCTGGGTTGCATAAACAGCAGTTATTACCAAATATTTAACGAAAAATAAATATATAGTGAGCTATAGGTAATAGTCCCTTAAATAAGATTTACCGGCCTGCAGTTTATAGTCCATTAAATTGTTTTGAACCATTCATTTAATACATTTTTCATGCAGTCCGGCATAAGTATTGTATTTTTTTTTACACGAAATGCAATTATTGAAATAAAATACATATTATTATTATTATATTATGTACATACACATGTTTGCATCGCGATAACGCTTAACATAACAGCTATCTGCAATCGACTTATTATTATAGTATTATAATATTATATTGTGATTGGTCTTAAAAACAAGTAATGTTTACGGTCTTCCATTCCCGATTTACATCGTGTCATTTACAGTATTATATTATAGTCGCTCTTGAAACATGGCTTTAAGATCCATTGCATGTATAGGTACCTACTGATTACAATATATTATTATTTACCTAAACTGGTGTGTTAACAAATTTTGGTGAAATTGAATTGTCGTCTGGGTCTTGGTAGGTATTATAATATAGAGAGACATTAAGATGATTAAGACACTACAACAGTGAAACGGTTTGAATAACTTAACCTTCGTGACGCCATGCTAATGTTCCGTGATAATAATGTATATAATATAGTAAGTTAATTATTATTTTCAACAATAAGACGGTGTACTGTGTAGGCGTAATTGAAATATTTGTCATACGATAGGTACTCTGTCACAGACTGTTATTAAATTAGTTTGTTTTTAAAAAACTTTTAAAATAGGTATTTTGGAACAAAATAATAATAATAATAAATATTGTTATATTGTATTGAAAAAATATAAATTCATGCAGATTTTTTAATATCCATCATACTGAACAGTTAAATTAATTGTCAAGAGTAGCGAGTCATGATCATATGTGTATACAGTATAAGACGTAAGTTACTCTATCAATATATAGTCTAATAATTTTTTAATTTAAATTCAGGTCTGGTTTACGCTAACCTTATTTTCCGATCGACCTGAACGAATTGTTTACACTTTATCATAACGATTTCTTTGTATTTTTGTATTATTATTATTAACTACCTAACAATACAATAAACGATGGCTTGTCGGCGGCAGTTGAACAAACATTGAAATCTCACGGTTTGTGTGGGGCTGATCGTGTAATAGGATGGAACGCAGCATAACATGCAGGGCAATACACATTATTATTATTATTTAGTACTTACACACAAACCGTTAAATTGTATGGGTTGGCGTGGAATGAAACCAATATGGTAGTGCCATTAAGCGTTGGGGAGTAATAGAATTTAGAAACTTGTAAGGCCTGTTATCAACGGTTGGTGTTGTGGGGCATAATTTAGGTTAGCCCCCCCGCATGAAAGTACCCTAAATCTCAATAGACCCCACACGAATTGTTTTTCTTAAAATAATATAATAGCAGTGAATTGCGTATGACGATAACATCACTCGGCCTCATAGAGTTATAAGAATTCTTATTGCTCTATGCTCGCCGCCCAGCCTCGCAGAAACGTCTTATAATATGGTTTTGATCGTAATTGTCGGGGTG